GGGAGGGCAGGGGGAGGAGAATTATCGGTGTATGATGGTCTGCCTGGTTGTGTTGTGTGCAGAACAACATTGACAAGAGTGTGCGTTCGCTGACGACCCACCAGACAGTCATGAGCAGCCTCCTGTGGACGGGGGTCAAGAACCTCAACGCCAAAATCAAACAACTGCAGACGTACGTACAGTACGCACAGAGAGCAGAGAGGGAGAGAGCATAACCATCGTGACAGCACGGGCCTTCCCCCCTCCCTCTCTCCCTTTTCGTTTCCACACAGACACGCGGACTACACCAGAAGCGTCCAGAAAATGCTCATTCAGAAGGCAGACGAATTCAGAGGTACAGAACACACCTGCACACTGACTGAAGCAGAACAAATCCATCCACATATCTTGCACCGCACCCCATTGGCTCGCTCCTTGTGCGTTCAGCTTCTGTCAGCGGCACCCCCAAGTCAAATGGGCCAGCCGAGAGCATCGACGACCACATGTCTATCATGGATGGCGTCTTCTCGGCCCTGCGCGACACGGGCGACAGGCTACGCGGCGAGATCCAGACGGCCAATGAGTCTATACAGGCGCTTACCAAAGGGGTAGAAGCGCACGATCGAGACCTCGATGACCTCAGGAGAAGGGGAGAAGGTACGTACCCTTCTCAGACAGACAGAATCGACAGCTTCATTGTGTGCGTGTCCTTGTGTGGCATGTGAAGAGAGTGCGGAGCAGATAGCCTTGGCAGCTGCGGGTCTAAGTTCGGTTGAGGAGGAGGTGGCGAGTGTCAAGGGCAGCACACTGACCCGGGATAAAGTCGAGAAGAAGATCGAACTGATCCACCAGGCCGCTAAGCAGTCATACGAACAGGTAGGTCTGCGCATGAACGAACGTGGAGACAGACATGGACATGAGAGAGAGGCAGGTATGTGGCCCGCTTGCTGCATGGCTGGCTGCAGATGAGTCACGTGGTCAAACAGTGGCAGAGCCACCAGACTGACACGAACCAGCGGCTCAAGAAGGCCATCGAAGACATTGTAAGTCCGTCCGACCCTTCTTGCTTGTCACCAACGCGTCTGTGCTCATCTCATCTGTGTTTCGTTTGTCTTTCTTGTTCAGTCGGTGTCGTCCGAGCGTGGCCTCCAGGTGCTGCAAGCGAATGTCTTTGGCGCGGTGAAAGAACACCTAGACCCCATCAGCACTTTCGTCAACAACCTCCACCAGAGACACGTATCTACGAGCATTATATATCCATATATGGGAGGCCCTCAATTCACTCGACTCATGCAGCAACGGACGGCGTGTGTGTGTTTGTGTCTGTCAGGAGGAGCAAGAGGTAGCTGTGCAAGAGATCCAGAAACAGCTTCCCGGTATTTACTCCGAGCTCGATACCAAGACAACTGACCTGCGGACACAGGTAGGTAAGAGGGCCAGCCGACGAGGAAGGACATGTAGCGTCTGAATGAGTACACCAATGAACGTCGAGTGACTCGAATCACAGGAGGCATCCATCGACCACCTGCGCTGCTCGTTCAACGACCAAGTGCAGCGTCTCGAGAGAGCCATCGAATCCACCGAACAGGACAGACTCAAGGCACGTGATGGATGCTTCGCCCCTCCCTCTCTGTCATCCCTCTCTCCCTCTTTCCTCTCTTAGGGTGAGGCCTTCCGCGCGACCCAGGTGTCTCAGCAGGAGGAGCGCTTCAACGAGACTTTAGACAGCCTCCGTGAGCAGCTGGATTGCGAGCTAACCACCCAAGAGTGGCACCAGGAGGAGATCACGGCCACACTCAAGAGGCTGCAGGGTCTGGAGATGCGCTTCCGCAACTGGATTGAGACGACGCTCTTGCCCAGGAAAGTGGCAGAGGCCCGGCTATTCGCTCTTGAGACACGAGTCGAGGAGGAGTTCTGGTCGCGTCTTGAGCTGCAGCACGCCGTCCTGCCCGAGGCGCCCCCTCCAAAGCGCAACTTCTGGAAGAGGCTCCGCAACGAAGCCGACCAGGTGTGTGTTTGTGTGGGAAGGGAAGACACAGGCAGGGGTCATACACGCCCCCCACAGTATCTATCTATCTGTCTTGGCCTGCCGTCTGTCATGCAGACTCACCCCGCCGCTTCCACCAAGGACACATCCTCCACCTTCCTGCCGGCCCTTCCCTCCCCCACCGAGTCCACCGAGGCCCAAAGCGGCATGCGGTGGTTCACAGGCTCCTTCCGCCCCAGGGATAAGGCCAAGGACGGACCGTACACGCGGCTGCGCGCACGAGGGCGGCGATTGCGTCCGGCCTACGCCGTTCGCAAGTCCGCAGAGGACCTGAAGCGCCTCACCCAGACAGTGAGACAAGAAGTTGAGGAGCAGATGGCCGAACTCTCGCCGGCGGCCGAGGCCCTGCCTGCTGCCCCTCCTCCCCCGGACGTCTCTGACACGGCCATCAGCCCGTCTGATTCGCCCTCGCCACCCCCTGCAGCAGACCATGACCATGAGCATGAGCCCACCCCTCCGCCCCGGCCCGCCTTCATCACCGAAGGTGGCGGCAGCCAGCTCCTCAACGTGACAGCAACCAGTCTCTCCCGGCCCTCACAAGCGTCGTCTCTGCCTGCACGGGAGCATCACTCGTCATTCGAGTCGATTGAGCCTCTAGAGGGCAGGAGTGAGGTGATCATGTCGTCTGTGGATAAGGACAGGAGTCAGGAGGGAGAGGTTGTGGATGCCGATGGCGTGTGGGGGGAGGGGGCAGATGTGGCCGGGCTCTCGGTGACGGGCTGGACCTACTCACCTCGCGAGCCCAGAAAGACATTAACGAGTGTGCTCAAGGGGGGCAAGGGGACAAAAGGGGATCGGTAGGTAGCACAAAGACGGTTTACTCTTCTTTGCATGCATTGGCTTTTGCACATGACCTGACTGACGTCAATCGATTTCATGTTTGATGAATTGCACACGTCCATTGATTGGGTCATGACATGTCACGTCTGGTCGCCTATGCACACCTCTCTCAGCAACCAACTGACCGACTGACTGACAATCGATTCACACACCACTACTCATTACGCATCCCCCTCATGGACACACCCACTGCACACCGACAGCCAGCCACTCACTGCTCACTCAGCCCCGTATAGCCTGGGCAGGGCAGCTGAGCTACTTGGCTATGAGGCCCTGGTTGTCAATGTCGGTGCCGAACCCGTGCTTCCTCCCGTATCCATACGCAAAGTCCTCCCTCTGCGGCATGTAGTCCATCCACGTCGTGTTGCTGCGACGCGCCCTCCCACGGAGGATGTCCCACTCCCGCCTCAGCTTGGCGCGCATCTCATCGCCCTGCTGCGAGACCCACCAGACGGCATAGTGCGCCATGCTGAGGTGCCGCTGCTGGTTCTCGCTGCGGTCGATGCCCTCACCAAAGAACACCCGATACTGCTGTTCTTTGTCCATGTCCTTCAAGGGGTTCTCGCCGTTGAGGAAGGCCACCAGCTTGATGCACTCCTCGTGGGTCTCCTCCCGGTATCGGTTCTCGAAGCGCTGGTACTGCACCCGATAGGGTCGGAGGGAGAGCTTGAAGAGCTTCCTCTTCTCGCCCACGAGGCTGTCCTCCCTGGCATCGGCCGCACGGCCCTCCACCTTCTTGTACTCGAGAGCGTTGGGGTCGAACTGGTGCATGCAGCGCGTCAGCCGCTGGCAGAACTGCGTCTCGTTGACCGACTTGAGGTGCCTGCACCAGAAGTAGCTCCGCGGACACCGACGCCGGCCGCCATTCATAATGAAGGGCACGCCGTCCTTCTTGACGATGCTGCACCAGTAGTCGGGCCCGCTGTGGTAGGTCTTGTCCTTCTCGTGTTCCTTCTCGTCCTCATTCAGGCCGCCACCCCCGGTGGTCCTCTCGTGGTACCGCTGTCTGCACTGGCTGAACATCTCGCTGGCGTGGTCGGGGAGGAGGCAGTGGGAGTCGCGGCAGAAGGTCATGCACCAGTCGAACAGCCGCCCGCTGAGCCGCGGCTCGTCGGGGCCCTTCCTGATGGCCTCGACGTTGGCTTTGCGGATGAAGAGGTACTTGTCCAGCGCGGCGAAGACTCTGTCGGGAGCGGTGTGGTGGCACTCGTCGACGTCGCCCAGGCCGTGTGTGTTCGGCGGGCACTCGGGGTGGTAGTTGGAGACGATGTAGCTCGACACAGCACCCATCAGCCTGGCCTGCAGCCTCTGGCGTGCAAACAAAAGAGGAATGAATGGATCAACAGCCTGAAAGGGATGAATTCAGAGGCTGACCTATCAACGGTCAGATCTTGATGTCAACACGAGTGCTCAGTCCCTTTGAGAGAGCAAATACCTCATTCTGCCAGTGGGTGGTTGTTTAGTGGCGTGACGATTGCGTTGTCCCATCACGATGCCCGAGAGAGCGGTTTCACGGAATCATTGCGCGCTTTCAGAACTTTTTCGCGCGCGAAAGGAGTATAAGGACACACAACAGTCTAAGGGCCTCGACAGCATCAGCATGCAGCGCGAAGCAGATGACGCCAGTCCCACTATCCTTGGGCGTCAGACTAATGCTGCAGAGGCCGATCATCTGCTGCAGCGTCAGCAGATCAGGCGGGACAGCAAGGACAGGGACAACCGCAGGGATGGCGTCTACCTGATCGTAAGTAACCACAAATCAACAAACCAGCGGGCTGCATGGACTCATGGGCTGTTTTGGTGTTTGTGCTGTTTGTTTATTGCAGTACGGGTTTCTGCTGATGCTGGTGGGGATGGCCGTCGGGTTTGTCTTCCTGGGCATCGGGTGGAGAATGGACCCCGGACACGCAATAGGCATACCGCCGTCAAAGTAAACATCCACACGCAATCTATCTGCTTGATTGACTGATGAATCGGCTGCATTCGTCCGTCATTCACGCAGGTTCTACGCGCCATACGTCATCCATTTGGCCGAGAGCGTCCCCGTCTCGGCCGACCCCTCTCTCTCCCTCGGCCAACACCGCTCGGCCGCCCACGATGACGACAAGATGTCACACATAGCGGTGTCGTGGCGGCTGACCAGCTCCAACGACACCTCCCATCCCCATCGGCGTATCGACTGCCCGGCGTCGCCACCCTCTTCTGTCTACGAGGACCTGCTTGCATGTGGAGTGCTCAAGGTGAGAGGGTAAAAGGGCGAAGGAAACATGATGCGTTCGTGGATGCGTGCATTCGCGCGTTCTGATTGGATTGATGTGGTGTGTCTGATTGATTGGTTCGTTGGTTTATGATCATTCATTCAGGACGGTCATCCGTACTATCGCTTCAACGAGCTCCGGTATCGGTGGGTGGCGCTGAGCAACTGGACCTACACGGCGAGTTTCGTGCTGACGGGCACCCACCTGCGTCATCGCATCGTGCTGCTGGACCTCCATGGGGTCGACACATTCGCACAAGTGCGGCTCAACGGTCACCAAGTCGGCACCTTGGACAACATGTTTGTCAAATACACTTTCCAGGTCGTTGCCCGACAAACTGGCCACTAAGCACAGCAGGACCGATGTTCTTTCTCCCTCTCAGATCCAGCCCTATCTCCGGCTTGGCCGCAACGAGCTCTCATTCCGGTTCGCCAATGCTATCCATGTGGGCGAGCGAGAGGCCGCCCGGTTCCCCTACCCCGTTCCCGTGACGGAGAACCTCTACGACCTCCCCAATCGCAACTTCGTCAGGAAGGCACAGTCAGATTTCGGGTACGTCTTCGGATAACACACATACACACACACCTGTGCTATGAGGCAGAGGCTGTGTCATGGCTTTGTTGCTTCGGTGTGGATCGCATCGCAGGTGGGATTGGGGTCCTGGCTTTGCTCCCATGGGGATATGGCGGTCGGTGCACGCCGTGGGGCTCAGCGAGGGGAGGATTGAGCACGTGGTGAGTGGGGGCGAAGGGGGAGGGAGGCGGAGAGACTTGACCTGATCGGTGCCTGTGTCTGTTTCCGTTGCCTGCACATGTGTATGTAGGTGACGGACCAGGTGTTTGAGGGCAACGGTCTGTCTGCAGTCAAGGTGACGTCTGAGGTGGGCGTGCTGCTGGACCCCTGCATGAGGGGCGACCTCATGCTCTCCGCCACATTCATGGGACAGACGCTGTCCAAAAAGGTGCGCCAGCCAGCCAGCCATCACTGTACACCAAAAGAGACAGACCGATCACCCTTCTCCTTGCTTCCCGTCTCACTCAACGATCCATGCAGATCCCTCCCGGCGATTGCCGCTCCCCCCCGTCCACCTCCTCCGCCCCCGAGCCCCTTCACTCTCTCTCTTTCACTTTCTCTTTCCACGTCACAAACCCGCCGCTATGGTGGCCGCGAGGCTACAGCGGCACGCCGGGCAGGCTGGTGCCCCTGAACGTGACTTTGGGGGTGCCGTCCTCCCCCAGTCTGCATCTGCATGTGGGTGAGGACCACGACGGGTCGATCGACAGGCGGGTAGTCCTGGTGGGGCTGCGGCGGGTGCGGCTGGTGCGTGAGCCGCTGACGCATGCCGCGAGCCTCAAGCAGGGGGAGAGGATCGAGAACTGGCCTTACTGCAGGGTAAGACGGGCAGGCAGGCAGGCAGGCTTGGTGGGTCAACAGCGGCACGGCTCCTGAATGAATGAATGTTCCC